GTGATCCTACTTCTAAGAATATATCCCAAGAAACTAGAAACACCAATTAGAAAAGATATATGCACCCCTATGTTCATAGCAGCACAATTCACCATAGCTAAGATTTGGAAACAGCTTAAGTGCCCATCAGTAGGTGAGTGGATTAGAAAACGGTGGTACATCTACACAATGGAATACTACGCTGCGGTAAAAAAGGAGTTCTTACCATTTGCAACAGCATGGATGGAACTGGATTATGCTAAATGAAATAAGCCAGTCAGAGTGCACCATCTTGAAGGTTTTACAAGGTCCTCCTTGAGAGGAGGCTGTGGGGAGCTGCAACAGCTAGGCACCAAGCTTCACCACCATCCAGACTCATTCTGCCCCAGTCCTGGTGTGCCTACAGAGGTAACAACCCAGACCTGCATGACTGCAACAGACACTGGTGGGTCCTCTGCATGCCTGGCATGCTCTCAGCCTGAACCCGTGTGCCTGAAGGTACCCAGCCTGGACACTGTGCCACCTCCATGCAACCACCACTGACACAGCAGAGCTTTTGCCCCTGTGGTGTACTCACCTGCTAGCACTGCTACTGTGTTACCACAACCACTTTAGAGCCCAGCTGTTAGGCTCCACCACCAGGAATCAGGGGCAGGAAATGTGCTGAAGGCCATGAGATGTATGTAGCCTTCCCTGACACAGACTTATTGAACTGTGGACTTGAGGAGACTGAAGAGGCTGCAGATCTTTAGCTGGTATGATGACATTAGGGTTGAACTTCACTGGCAGCAATTCGGAGGGGAGATCACTTCCATGAATGGGACATCAACAATCAAGTCCCAATTTTAACTGTAGAGCCCAAATAACACACACAAGGGGCATTCCTAGAGCATCTAGCTCAGGTGAACAAAGAGAATGTAGCATTGGACCTCTCAAGACAATTCATACATAGGCCACCCCACAAAGACTGGGAGCAATAGTAGGTCTATATAATACAAAGAAGCAAATACAAAAAGACAGATAAAATGGGGAGACAAAGAACCTCCCAATGAAGGAGAAAGACAGAATGTCCAGAAAAAGAACTAAATGAAAGGGAGATAAGCAACCTATCAGACATAGAGTTCAAAGCAGTGGTTATAAAAATGCTTAAGGAACTTAGTGCAAATTGCAACAATGTGATAGAGGCCATGAACAGGAACAAAACGGAAATGAAGAATGCATTTTCTGACATCAAGAACACACTGGAAGGAATTAAAAGTAGATTGGATGAAGCAGAGGATCGAACCAGTGATTTGGAAGACAAGGTAGAAATAAATACCCAATTAGAGCAGCAAATAGAAAAAAATAATTAAAAAGCAGGAATAGCTTAAGAGAGCTCTGAGACAACATGAAACATAACAACATCTGCATTATAGGAATACCAAAAGGGGAAGGATGTAAGCAAGGACCAGAACCATGGTTAAGAAATAATGTAAGACAACTACCCCAACCTGGTGAAGGAAAATGTCACACAAGTTCAGGAGGCTCAGAGAGTCCCAATCAAGATAAACATAAAGAGTTCCACATCTAGACACACCATAATTAAAATGACAAACATTAAATACAAAGAAAGAATCTTAAAGGCAGCAAGAGAGAGACAGAAAATTACCTACAAAGGAGTTCCCATTACAATGTCAGCTGACTTCTCAATAGAAACACTTCAGGTATGAAGTATTCAAAGTGATGAAAAGCAAGGAACTAAATCTAAGACTACTGTATTCAGCAAGGCTATCATTTAAAATTGAAGATGAAATAAAAAGCTTTCCAGTTTAAAAAAGAAAAGGTTAAAGGGTAACAGGGGGTGAGGGTGAGGACAGGATTGGGGGGTGGGGGCAATGAGGGATAAGGACACATTTGTAATACCTTAATCGATAAAGGGGAAGAAATTTAAAAACAAAACAAAACAAGATAAAACCTCACCTTTATTAAATGTTTTATGCTAGATTGGCACTCTATGAAAATTACTTGTTTTCCCAATTGAAACATGGTTATTAAAGTTTCAGTAATCCATTGAAAGTTGAATATTCACACTGGACCATTTTAAAGCACATACAGATACCTTGTCAGTTTCCTTCATTTAAAAGAAATTTATTTTACCCTTGTCATGACAGACAAAAAGCTTACTGAGGCTAGCTGGAAAGTAACTTCCCTCTAGGTAACATTCCTCAGTAGCCCTGCTCTGTATCTTTGGAGGGAAGGATACCTTGAATTTCAAACCCGGACATGTGAGAAGAAATACTGGGCATTCATTGAGTGGAGGTGAAGGGTATGATTTGCTCTTTGAAGAAGATTGATTTAAATTTCTGGACAGTGCCATTGTCTACTTGGTAGTGCAAATTATTTTTTTTCTGTAGGAAATGTGAGTTGTATTCTTTAGTAAACCCTTGTGATACCCATTCCTAATTTTTCTTGCATTTTATGATTTTCAGTCACCTATATTTACTGTGTCCCTTTATTTTAAGTCCCATTGGGAAATTAGGAAATTAGCACCACCTGAAGCCCCTTTATCAAGATATGTTGTAGTGAACATGTGCTTGTAGGTGTATAACAAAAGCAATAACTCTTTAGATATAAAATATCCTTTGTTAGAAATAAATTTGCTATTTGAAATTTTGGACTTACAGATGTGATCAAGTTAGGAAACATTTTTTTAACATTCCCCAAAGATCCAAAACTGAGCAAATTTTCACATTTGACAAGACAGAACCTACTAAAAAGTGTTATTATGGTCCATTCTTTTCAGCCTTATGGAGGCGTAGAGCATTATAGGAAGTATGTGTACTTATTGTCAGGTAGTTCCAGAGCATGGGATGAATACTTGTGGTCCAGAGATGATGGCTGGAGGGTAAAGATATCAGTGAAGTTATACTACAATGCCCAGTGATAACAAGCCTGGCCACCATCTTAACTCAGCAGAGAGAACACTGCTCTCAATATAGTAAGCATTCACTAAAGTAAGAAGGCTTCAGAGTAATTTATCTTAATACATTGTTTGCGGGTAGTTTTTATCCCGCGCTAACAGGTGGCTCTACTACTTACAGTCAACGTAAAACATATAAATATGTTTCCCGCATACAATGTGTTTTAAAGGTCTCCTGCCCTTTTTCTCACACAAACATGACAGATGACTTTAACCCAGGGCCATGTATAATTTTTAGCATGTTAGCTAAATGTTACCTCTTCATTAATTTAAAGCCAACTATTGCAAATGGCAAGTGACTCAAAGTACCATATTTAGGGGCATCTTTATACCTACTTAAATTTGTAAATATGCAAATAGTAGATAAATTACTTGACAAAATTTATACTAACTGAACACTTCCTGTTGCATCATGGAGATTAAAAACCACTGATTTAACCGAACCTTCTATGAAGCTTCTGGTTCAGAAATTTTCAACCTTTCATCTCAGGACACACATATACTTATTACTAAAATTATTTGGCACACCAAAATATATATTCTTTTTTTGCCAATCTGACAAAAATGGGTATAATTTTGATTCATTAACACCAGATGGCAATTGTGTTGGCTGTTGTCATTTTTTTTTAATCTGACAATCTAAGGGAAAAAAGGTCAGGGCCCCTGACTAAATAGTCAGGTATTCCATGTTTTAAAAATTCTTGTGGCACACCATGTGAAAATCACTGGTCTAGTCCATTAGACATTCACTCCTGATTATTTGACTTTTACATTGATTTTTATAAAAATTAAAAAGGGAGTATATGTTATATTTAGGACTGAAAGTTTGATTTTATAAGCTAATAAGGAAATATGATTCCTGTTGGAAAAATTACTGGTCTTTAAAGAAGGGCATTCTATACTCTGATCTAAATAGCCTATGGAAATTTCAGTTTTTATTCAGAGAAATTGAGAATTTTTTATCTGGAGTTATATGATGAGAGAGAAAATTACTTACACACAAGCAAGTTAGAAGGACAAAAATACAAATCTCTGTGTATGCATGTGTGTGTGTGTGGGGGGGGGTTAAATCCATAGAGGACTTGACTGTATGGAAGCTTTATTGTTTTGTATTTTTATTTCCATTGAGATGACTGCTTGTTTTGATTTTATTTTTTCTGATTATTCTACTCCATGTTTCTTTTTACTGTGACTCCAAGAATAATTTTTTTTTTATTATGCTCTGCACCTCAGAAATGTTAAGTAAGAGTTTTAAGTTTGGACAAATTACCATAGAAGTGTGAATTACATTCTAAAATAAATGCATATTAGAGGAGAAGCCTAACTAAATAGTATTAATTTTACTATCTTAAAACTCTCTTTTAGGTATGATTAGGAGGCAAAATAATTATATTATCTCTACCTGTTAACGTAGCTGAAGAAGTAGCACAGATACACATGAAAGACCCCTTAGCAACACATGTTAATGACTAATGAGTGGTACAAGTATATTCCAGACTTAGTATACAAGGAGACTTAGGTCATATCTTCTCATTCAGTTTCTGTTGTAAACAATGAACATTGAAGCATAGAGTGACTCTGAGGCTTGTAACATTCTCAAGGAAATATTTATTTCTGTTCATTACATGATGCTTATTAAGATAGGTAGTAGACTTGGATTGTTTGTGAAGATTTTCAACAAGGGCTGAAATTAAGAAAGGCTTGTAGATAACCAGAAAACAAAGCTTCCTACCACTCACACTTTTGCATTAACTGAATTTTAGGTTATTGATATGCATCATCTAGCCTTACTTTTGCTCATTAGATGTGGGAAATTTTCTAGAAAAAGAAAAATTCAGGTTGATAAAAGGATCTGTCATCTGAAAGCTCTTCAATCCACTTGTGAGACATTGTTAACAACAAAATAATAAAGCGGGAAAACCATGTATCTTCTGTGAAACCACAAATCTTGATCCATGTCTGAGTTCATTTATGCTAGTTCACAAACACTGACTTTTGTTGAATTTGAAAATAATAGAAGCTTTTTGTTCAGTAATATAGTTTATTGTCCTTTGGGTCCTAGATTAAGAAGAAACAGCAAGATGTGCTTGGTTTTTTAGAAGCTAACAAAATAGGATTTGAAGAAAAAGATATTGCTGCCAATGAAGAAAATCGGAAGTGGATGAGAGAAAATGTACCTGAAAACAGTCGACCAGCTACAGGGTACCCCCTACCACCTCAAATTTTCAATGAAAGCCAGTACCGTGGGGTAAGGAATCAATTTAAATACTTGGTGTGTGTTTTTTTCAAATGGATTTGTTCAAATCCATCCTATCCATTTCACTCTCGTGCCTAGATATGCATACAGTCATTTCTCTTGTTCATTCTTTGTATCCATCATAGGCAGATGAGGTATTTTGCCAATGACTAGGAGGTAAATAAGTCATCCATCAAAATTACCTGTAAATGTAGAAATACAGATTTTGAACATATAACTGTACATTTCTTCATCTCAATTCCAACCAGAACAATTGTATTAATGTTTCCGGTATGTCCATGAAGGAGTCTCTGAAAAGAGGTCAGCCGTTTGACTTATTTAGATTAACATTAGTTAAAAAAAGAGGAATGTCTTATTTCCTGCTTGAAACTAGTAAATACTTTTATTTTGGTATCATTAATGAATTTTGTTAAAGTTTTAATTCAGCTCATTGAACTAATGTAAGAAAGGAAAGAAAATATTTTTCTTTTTTCTTTTTCTTTTTCTTTGCTTTGTGACTGGTGCTTTCAAATATGCTATTTTGTTTAGTCTTCATTTAAATCATGGAGCATTTTCCTTAATACTTTATTAATTATATATTCAAGTACAATTTGTAGTTTATGGCTATTCTAGGCAGCACAATGGCAAGTAGAAATCTAAATAAGACACAGCCTCTTCTCTTAAGGAGCTGATTAGGAGTGGGGTGTGGGAAGAATCATACATACCTGAAACAATCAGAGAATAGTTATGAAGTCATGGTAGAGAAAGCATAAGTAAGGGCCATAAGAATTTCCAATAGAGAACTGTTTGCATTGCTATATCCTCAGAATTAGCATTACTGAGGAACAGATCTTTTTAGAGCCAGCAATCCATATCTTCTGGCTTATAGGTTTATACAGGAGTGAAACAGACACTTTTTGGTGGGGATCTTTTCATGGACCAATTCAAATCATATAAGGGATGGGTGTGACAAACTTGAGTTTATTGGCACAGAAGTGTTTGTCTTTAGTCACTTCTGAGGAGGGGGGCCTAAAAATTTCATCTGTTGCTGCAAACATAGCCAAAATACAGATAAGGAAAAGGCAAGTATGCTATCCATTTAGATATTGAAATCTCACTTCCTCTATATTTGAAATTTCTGAAAATTGGTGAATTAGAGTGGTTGAAAGAGACCTCAGGGGTCATACAGTCCAATCTAAAGCAGCATATATTATCTTAACCTCTCCTTTTTAAAACGGACATTTCAATTTGTTTGACTTTTGAAAACAAACACATTTTGGGTTATAAGGGTAACATTTGAGAAACCACATTTACCTGGTTTATTTCTCCTTGTGAAGCCACACTGCAAGGGAATGGAGTATGTTATGGAAATAGGGCAAGAATCACTAAGAAATGGGAAGATGGAAAGGAAGGGGCAAGAGGGTGAGACTCAACCAAATGCATAAACATTTCTTAGTGGAAAAGGAATCCAACTTCTAGTGAGTACTTCCTGGGTGCCAGGCACTGAGTTAGGAGTTTAAAAACAATAAGAATGAAGATTTGTCCCTATACAGACACTTAGAAGAGTATATAGCAACCTTTCATACAAAAAATACTGCATGTCATCTATTGTGCTACATGTTTTGTGTGTATTATATCTGTCAGTTCTCATACTAATCCCCTGACATAGGTAATTGTTCTTATTCTATAGATGAAGAAATTGAGGCCTAGAATGTTTAACTGACTTCCTAAATTACACAATAACTGATGAAGCTAGGATTTAAATCTAGATATGCCTTACTCTGAAGCTCTTACACTTTCTATTAAATCACTGCATTATTCATTTTCTTGTTTATTCAAAGTTTTCATCTTCATTCTTTTCTTGCTCCATTATGTGGTGGGTCTGACCACAGCAAATTAAATTTTCTAATCTACATTGCCAACTGGCTGCCTATTAGGTTTGGCTGATAATAGGAGGTACTAGTTTGAAGAATGGAGGGCAGGAGGAGAGGAAAAACCAAAGTACAGTGGGGCCTTGACTTACGAGTGTCCCGACTAACGAGTTTTTCGAGATACGAGCCGTCTCTCGGCAGATTTTTTGCTTTGAGTTGCGAGCTAAAATTCGGGTTATGAGCCAGCTTCAGATACGCCACCGCTAGTTGGCGCAGCGAACGTCACAGTGAATGCCACATCAGCCCAGCATCACGTGTCTCACTCGTTCACAATTGATTTGACATACGAGTAATTTGAGTTACGAGCTCCATCACAGAACGAATTAAACTCGTAAGTCAAGGCCCCACTGTATCCTCCTCCTTTCTATCTGGATGATCCATGACAGTGACTGAATCTCCTTTATGGTACCATCTCTACCAGGTACCCCAGCTCCTGGGTCCTGTAATATCACCTTCTTTATTCTTTCCTTTTGCCCTAGATTTGGTAGCAGCTTCCTGTTGTTTGCTAATCTCTGGGTTGTCTCACCATCACCTGTTTGCCTTTCAGATTTTTTATCTTTTCTAAGTAGTTCTTCATATTAAATTGCCTGTTTTAACTATCTCGAGGTTTCTCACTCTTGGCACTACTGACATTATGGGTTGGACAATTCTTTGTTGTGGGCAACTGCTCTGCACATTGTAAGATGTTTAGCAGCAACCCAGGCTTCTATCCTTGAATTCCAGTAGCACCCTTACATTTGTGAAAACATATCTCCAGACTTTGCCAGATGTCTCTGTGGGAAAAATTACCTCCTGTTGAGAAACACTTAACTATGGTAGCTTAGGTTCTTATTTCCAGACTGGAATGTGACTGAAACAACTACCCTATTTATATACATGAGACTCTGATATAAAAGATACAAAATTTATAAAGTAAGCTTTGCTCTGAAAGAGCTATGCTTCTATATGGATAACTAAAACACATTTCCATGAAATAATAAATAATATTATACCAACATATGGTATAATGCATTCTGTATTAATGTTATTGGAATCTCAGAGATGTAAATAAATTATCTTTATTTTTTCTCAAGAGAATTCCTATATAAGAAGCAGACTATGTCACAGTCTGTTTTGTTTACTCTTAAAGTCTTAGCACCAAGAATAGTGATTGGAATATAGTAGGTGCTCAATATATATTTGCTGACTAAATTATTTAATCTGGCTTAATTGAGAAACCAGTGTTCTTTTCTTTCAGAGTTACAAATCTGTTTGTGTTTGCTAAGTCCAAGGCCAACAAATCATAATATACTTTGGTACTAAAACACTTGAAACAAAGACAAGAGTCCCCTACATAGCATTTTTATCAGATTTCAATAAAGCTGAAGACCTGCTTTCTTTCCCATAATTTTAAAGAATGATAAATGTTTTTGTTGCTTTGATGTTAGTAAGAAATATCTCTTGTTAGATTCTTTTAACTAGCATTTTGAGGTTATTTCAAAGTGATTAAGTATAGATATGATCTATATTGTTTGTTTACCTTGAGTAGCTTATAGGTCATGTGTCTCAGTATGGAACTAGTATCAAGATCCAGTTAGTTTCACTTTTGAATAGTAAACTCAAAGAGTATAGGAGGCTCATATATGCCTGTTATTTAGGGTTTATTCCTTTGTCAACATCTAGGGTACACAAAAAGATGATTTGAGTCAATCTTTGTGGAGATACTAGGGGCTCTAAACAATTCTGACTATAATCCTTAAATAAGGGAGAAATTCTGATGTATCATGGGGTGGGGCTCAAATTTAGGGTCACCAATGGCTTGAGAGGCTCTCAACTTTATACCTCCAGATTCTTCAGATAACAAGAACTATACATGCTAGAAAAGAACCCTATAACACTGTGATCTGTTAGTGAGGCAATCTCTAGAGAATCCAGCATATTGAGTGTTAATTATATCCGTTAAATGCTAAGCTTATCTCTATTTTAAATCAAACAAACTAAGGCCACATATAGATAGTGGCTCTGTTTCCAAAATAGGTGTGTTGGTAACTCCATAGTCAAATTTAGGATATTTTACTTGTTATTTTTGGAAAATATTTGGTGGCTTAGAGGATGACAGTATAAAGAAAGCCCAACCAAATTCAGTCACATGACGCTTGCTTGGCTCACCAGATAGGAACCTTTTAGTAGCTTGTTTGCTCTTCTGGTCATATTTCATGAAAATCATATTCACTTTCTCCAAAGACAGCACAAATTTAATATTCTTATGGGCATATCTAGCAAATATATGGTCTACCATAGGCTCTGAGGACACCTCTACCTAATAAATAATAGAACAAAAATAATGGGAATCTGGAACAACAAATTCATGCCAGAATAAATAACCTCTTACTGGTAAACTGCTTTGGGCTGTGGAGAAAGCTGCTTGCCCAAAGACAGATTTCAATTCTGTGTGATGCGGAATAAGCCATTTTGCAATTTTTGCCCAACAGAACAGCGTATCTTCTATATACATTAAATGAGATCCAATAAGCCTTGCCTCTTTATTATCCTTTCCATAATTCTAGCATTATGGAAGTTAGTTAGCCTGCTGCTACCACGGAGGTTGACTAGTCAAGCTATTTTAAATAAATGTCCTCTTTTTCTTCCTTTTTATTTATTTATTTTTTGGTTGCACATTGCTAATTCTTCTTACCTTTTTTTTTTTTTTCACCGAGGACTATGATGCCTTCTTTGAAGCCAGAGAAAATAATGCAGTGTATGCCTTTTTAGGCTTGACAGCCCCACCAGGTTCAAAGGTATGATTTTCCTGTTTTATAGGCCACTTTATTGCTGCTGAGATATTTTAATTGTAAGATTTCTACCTTTATTAAGTACTCAGATTAAGCCAGAGGCCAGGCAACATAACTGAAAGGAAATGTTCCTGCTCTGCATGCACTTAATCCCTAGTAGGGTAGTCAGATGTGCATAATCAAATATATACGTACTAGTATGTGAGTAAGAAGTAGGTAGACTGACTTCTTCATCAATCTTATCAAGGCAGCAAATTTCTCATTAACCCATTTGCAAATAAGTGGTAAGCATTTTAAAGACTCCATTATTCTAGCTGCCATTCATGGTTCTACATCGACATAAAGTGTCTTAGTTCATAGTAATCTTCTTGGCAGCATCTATTGTCTTTGTGTGAGGCAAATGTTAGAGTCATCCATTCAAATTAACTGAGGACATTTGAGTTTCAAAACTGGTCACAAAATTGCTGGCTAAATTTGGAGCTTTTCCTCTGCCAACAAAAAATTAATATTTCAAGTGGCAGTGTTCCCATGAAGACCATATAAAGAAAAGAATCAAAAATTAAATTGCCTACATAATGAAATGTCTCAGAACTGTGGACTTTAAATATACCTTTGTCAGGTCCAGTGGGAAGGAGAAGTCAATGCAGCGTGAGGATTAAAAAGTAAAATAAAAATAAGTAAATAGGGCACACCTGGCCACCCCACCCCCTTGAAAATAGGAGTGCCCTGCCCACCAGGAGGCCTTGAGGAGCAACAAGTCCAGCCAGACCCACCCCCTTCATCCCCAGAGGGCCCTGCCTACCCTGCCCCATAAAGGAGGTGAGTGTCGAGCCCTTGACTAGAGATGAACTTGGTTGCCCAGCCCCCTTGATGATTGGAGTGCCCTACCCACCCCCACATCTTGAGGAATGGTATGCGTGGCCTACACCCACTCCTTAATATGCAGTGCATGTGGCCTGCTTCACCAACTTGACATGCAGCCAGCCTGGATGCACAGACTTGTTTCCCCACTCTGGCATGTCTGACCTGGAACCCCTGGACAACAGGCCTTAGTGACTTGAAGTGGTGCTCCTGGACCTGCCACCATGACAAAACATCCCCAGATACATGAACCTGCCATCAAAAATCATTGTGCCTGGCAAGGAAATACTGGACAGCCAGCCTGGCCACCTTGGCACTGGCCCCATAGCTGAGACCTGACACTCTCAGAAACACGAACCTGCCTCCTTGACCTGGCTGGCCTCACCCAACACCCCGGACCACAGGACTGCTAAAATGGGGAGATAAAGAAACAACCTCCAAATGAAATAAAAGGAGAATTTACAGAAAATGAACTAAATGAAATGGAGGAAAGCAATTGTTCAGATAAATAATTCAAAGTAATGGCTATAAGGGTGTTCAAACAACTTAGTGAGAACTACAAGGAACTTAATGGTAACTATAAATACTTAATGAGAACTACACCAGCATGAAAAGAAGGATGAAACCATGAATAAGAATCAAACAGAAATGAAAAATGACATAAATAACTACAATAAAGAATACCCTGGAAGAAATCAACAGTAGATTAGAAGCTGAGGACTGGATCAACAAATTAGAAAACAAAGTAGAAAACCACCTATTTGGAGTAGCAATTGGGAAAAAAACACCAGGGAAGTGTAAGGGAGCTTTGGGACAACATGAAATGTAACAACATGGGGGTACCAGAAGGGAAAGAATCTGAGTGAGGAATATAGAACCTGTTTGAAGAAAAAATGACATAAAACTTACTTCTCTAACCTGGTGAAGGAAAAAGTCACACAAGTCCAGGGAACAAAGAGTCTCAATCAAAATGAACCACCCCCCAAAACCCACACAAAGACACATCATAATTAAAATGGCAAACATTAGAAACAAAGAAAGAATCTTAAAGGATGCAAGAGAGACAGAAAGTTACCTACAAGGGAACCTCCATTAGACTCTCATCTGATTTCTCAATACAAACGCTTCAGACCAGAAGGGAGTGGCATGAAGTATACACAGGAATGAAAATGAAGGGACTGAATCCAAAACTACTCTATCCAGCAAGTGTATCATTCAAAATTGACCAGGGGATTGTCAAGGGCGGGGGGGAAAAAGGACACATATGTAATACCCTTTGTAATACTTTAAGCAATAAAAAAAGAAAAGAAGAAAAAAAAAGAAAAAAAATAAATTCCATGATTGACAGTGAAAAAACAACAACAAAAAACAAAATTGAATGTGAAATAAAATGCTTTGCAGACAAAAAAATGGCAAAAGGAGTTTATTACCACCAATCCAGTACTGCAAGAAATGCTTAAGTACTATTGTAAGAAAGAGAGAGAGAGAGAGAGAGAGAGAGAGAGAGAGAGAGGAGGGGGAGAGAACACATGCAAAGAGAATAAAAATGACAACAAATAAGTACCCACCAATCATAACTTTAAATGTAAATGGCCTAAATGCTCTAGTCAAAAGTCATAGAGTAGTTGAATGGATAAGAAAACATGACCCATATATATGCTGTCTACAAGAGACCCACCTCAAAACAAAAAATTCACTTACAGGATGACAGTGAAGGGATGGAAATTTTTTTCCATATGAAAGGAAATAGAAAAAAAAAAAGCTGGGGTAGCAATATTCATTTCTGACAAAATATACTTCAAAGTGAAAGCCATAGCAAGAAATAAGGAAGGACACTTAATAATACTAAAAGGAACAATATAACAAGAGGATATAACTCTGGTAAATGTATATACATCTAATATAGGAGCACCCAAATATATAAAAATATTTCTGGAGGATATTAAGGGAGATATCATCAGCAATACAATCATAGTAGGGTCTTTAACACCCACTGACATCATTGGATAGATCTTCTCCAGTGGGCAAACTCATTAGTCAACAGAGCCAAATATCAACAGTACAACGATTGAAATTTCTTTTGAGAGCCAAATTTTTTAAACTTAAACTACATAGGTAGGTACATTGTTATTAATTTCCCACTGATATAATCAAGCCAGTTTCTCCCTCTCTATTCCCTGAGCTGTGTGATGACTTCCTATCTCAACAGACATACTAACACAGTGGTTCTCCACCTTCTGGCCCTTTAAATACAGTTCCTCGTGTTGTGACCCAACCATAAAATTATTTTTGTTGCTACTTCATAACTGTAATGTTGCTACTGTTATGAATCGTAATGTAAATATCTGATATGCAGGATGGTCTTAGGCGACTCCTGTGAAAGGGTCGTTTGACCGCCAAAGGAGTCACGACCCACAGTTAAGAACTGCTGTTCTAGACAAAAAATCAAAAAGGAAACAGCAAACCTAAAATACTCATTTGATTAAATGGATTTAATTGAAATTTACAGGACATTTCACCTCAAAGCTGCAGAATATACATTCTTCTCAAGTGAACATGGAGCATTCTTATATATAGGCCACATGTTAGGACACAAAGTTTCTAAAAATTCAAGAGGATTTAAATAATAACAAGCATCTTCTTTGACCACAATGGCATGAAACTAGAGATCAACTACAATAAAAACACCCCCAAAACATTCAAACACATGGAGGCTATATAGCATGTTATTAAACAATGAAGGGTTTATCAATGAGATTAAGGAAGAAATCAAATATTCCTGGTAACAAATGAAAATGAACACACAACAACTCAAAATCTATGGGACACAGTGAAAGCAGTCCTGAAAGGGAAGTTCATATCACTACAGGATTACCTCAAGAAACAAGAAAAATTTCTAATAAACTATCTTGCCGGGGCTGACCAGCAGACCTTAAGTGACGGATGAATGATTACTCTGACACGTTTCTGTGAAAAAGAGGGCTAAGAGACTGTCTGGCTAAAGGAAACAGACAGCCCCATTCACCTGCCTCCTTAGGCTTTTATTATAGCAACAGCTTGAACTAAAATTAACCTCTAGATACTATTAGCAGGGTAAGTATCCTTGAGAAAACACATGTATCTGTAGTGTCTTTAAAACAAGGACGTTTTGAAGTCTAAACATAAAGATTCCAGCAAAACACCCAGGGGCTCAGACTTGTTTGGAAAAGTCAAGGCAGGGTCTGCTGCATTTGACAAGAATCCCCTAGAGGCCTCTGACCTTTCAGAGAATCCTACTTACAGACTTTCCAACAAGTCCCATACTTCCCCACACTATCTAACCCTATAATTTAAAGAATTAAAAAGGGAACAAAAGAAAAGCCCAGGTTAAGGATAAGGAAGGAAATAATAAATATCCGAGTGGAAATAAATGACATATATACTAAAAATATATATATATATATCTCAATGGAAACAAGACCTGGTTCTTTGAAAGGATAAATGAGATTGATGAACCTTCAGCCAGTATCAACAAGAAACAAAGATAGAGGAACCAAATATATTAAATCAGAAATGAAAAGGTGAAGTTACAACTGACACCACAGAAATACACAGTATTGTAAGAGAATATTATGAACAATGATAAACAATATGCCAACAAACTGGACAACCTGGACAAAATGGAAAAATACTTAGAAAAATACAACATTCCAAAATGCAACCAGGAAGAATGAGAAAACTTGAATAGGATTATAACTACTGATGAAATTGAAGCAGTAATCAAAAACCTCCCAGCAAACAAAAGCCCTGGCATGGATGCCTTCACTGGGGTGTTTTACCAAATATTTAAAGCAAAACTAGCACCTACCTAGTCAAACTATTCCAAAAGAATCCAAGAGAAAGAAACACTTCCTAGCTCTTTTCATGAGGCCAACATAAGCCTAATTCTAAAACCAGATAAAGATACTACAAAGAAAGAAAATACCAGCCAATATCCCTAATGAACATAGGTGCTAAAATCCTCAACAAAATATTTCCAAATCAGATCCAGCAATATTTTAAAAAGATAATACACCATGACCAAGTAGGATTGATTCCAGGGATGCAAGGCTGGTGCAATATTTGAAAATCAATAGATGTGATACCTCACATAAAGAAATTGCAAG